GTGAACACCGAAATTTGAGTGCTTCTCAGCAGAGCTTTTCATTATCTGTTTGGCATTTATAGCCGCTATTCATACATAAATGGTGCGTTTCTGGTGTCTGATGGAGACAGCTACATAGTTTGAGTTTTAAGCAGCAGTTTTCAAGTGTGTGCACTTTCCTGAAAATTAATTTCTCCTAAGAATGTACAAGTTGAAAAGCTTGCAAAAAAAAAAAAATCATTCTACTGTGATTTTGAGGGGATGAAAATCATAGAATGGTTTGGGTTGGAAGGGACCTTCAAGCTCATCCAGTTCCAACCCCCCTGCCATCAGCAGGGACACCTTCCACTAGACCAGGTTGCTCAAAGGACACTTATTCTGTCTTTATAAAGGCTTTTTTTTATTTTGTGTCTAAACAGTGGGGGGGTGAGGAGGGATCCTAGAGATCCATCTGCTCAATGCCCAATTATTTACTTTAAAGTCCCTTTTCACTTCCTGCAGAACCTGCACGAACAGCACAAAAACTGCATGTTGTACAAGGAGGGTTTCTTTGGTCCATGAACTTATAAGCATGGAAGCTTTTCCTCATTCTGCATGTTAAGGAAACATCTTCAAACAAAGAATGGTGGTGGTTGAAGACAGTCCAGTGTTCTCTCTACCTTCCTCACTAGCAATGAGATCTCTTTGATTTAGCAGTCGAATAAGCCGCCTATAAATTATTTGTTTCTCTGCAAGTTGGTCCTTTATCTTGGAGGAGAGTTGGCACACCACACAACTAGCAGTTTCCACTCCAGAAAAGCTGCTTAGGCAAAGCTCTGAGAAAAGCTACTTATTCTGTAGGCCAATATCATGTCGTCTTCAGTGTCACCTTAAATGGGTTACTGCATTGAAATTTAGAAACAAGAGTTCAAGATCTTCTTGCTGGACAGTGCTATAGAGGTCCTCACCCTTTGCTAAAAATAGTAATGTATGAGAAACCTTCAAAGGTTGTCAACCAGCCAGGACAGTGCAGTTACTCAAGCAGCATCCCAGGACTCCAGAGGAATTTGTGATCCCAAGAGTCAAGGTCTGCTTCTTGCTCTTAAGTCTGAAAGAGTTTTCAAGACACTGTGGGTTTCACCTGGTAAAAGATTGAGCTTTTGTGCAGTTGGCACAGTTAATGTTTTTGATGTCATGGAAATAATTATTGTGATGAAGGTAAGAGGCAACCAGAAGGTAATGATCTGAAAGGAGCCTCACACCAAGTCCAGCTCCTTGGTGGCCAGGTGGGATGGAGGGAGCCTGGAGAGCAGTGGAAGGACTGGGACTGGGTGCAGTGGGAAGTTGGTGCTGACCAGATCCGCTCTAGGAAGGGGTAAGGGTGTTGGAAAGTGTCTTCCAGAGTGCTGGAGATCCCCAGGTTGCATGGGACTCTAGAAGCTCTTGGGTTTCTGCTACACAAGGTGGCACATGAAACTCATAGCAATCACGCAGAGGTAGAGGTGATGCAGCAGTGATAATGTGGACATCTTGACAGAAAAAGGAGAGAAAGAAGAAAGGTTTGTGTGATTAATTTTTTTTTTTCTTCCCAATAAAGACATGATCAGAGTGGGAGAGTTTGTTCTTCACTTCATAGTAAACTGATCAAAAAGACATCACAGAATCCCAGAAGGGTGGGGGTTGGAAGGGACCTCAGGAGATCATCTAGTCTAACACCCCTGCCAAAGCAGGTTCCAAAATCCCTACACCAGGTTGCCCAGGAAAGTGTCCAGGTGGGTTTTACACTGGAGCAAGCCCCCAGTTTGGGAAGGGGTGATGGGTGAGGAGAGAAGCAAACCTTCTTTAAAAAAAAAAAAAAGAAAAAAAAAAGAAAAAAAAAAGGCAAGCAGCTGAAGGTGAGCATCTGCAGTTACCAAATTTCCATGGTGCTGGGATTTCCCCACCACCCCACCCATCCCTGAAGGGAGGTGGCCCAGTTTTTATCTCTCCCCCCAGCCACATGCTTTACCACTTAACTTCACAGCAGTTAATGAGATCAGAATGAGGAGGGGTAAAGAAACCTGACTAACAAAGATGTGGGGTTTTTTAAATTTCTATTGGAGCTGAGTGCCCCCTGTGTGACTTGCAGGAAAGCAGCACTGGGCTCTGTTTCATTAGTAGACCCTGGGGTGCTGAGAGAGTTTCCATGTGTGGGTTATGCATCCAGCTAGACTGGGTTCTGTGGGAATCCAACCTGCTTAAATTTGACCCTGCACCTTCTGTGCAACTGCTGCATGACTTGGGCTTGTGAAAAAAAAGAGTGTTAGCGTGATGGTGAAAAAAAAAATAGCTGAGAATAAGTGTGAACAGACAGCCTGGCTGGGCTAGAGTTCCCCCAGCTCAGCTTCCACTGCTGTTGCTGGTCGCTTCTCCCAGTGCAGTTACACAAAGTCATCTCTCCTCTCAGCTTTGAAGCAGTTTACAGTTATAAATCCTAAATCCTTCTTTTAATACACATTGAATCGTAGGTGAATTTAGCTGGTAAAGCATGTGAGGTGAATTGAAGTGGCAAAGCATCTGAGACTGTGCAGGAAGTGGCTGGGATTTTTAGTTATTAGATGAAAAAGCTTCTGGAAATATTTAGTGTTATGGAAGAGGCTACAACCACCAGGAAACATGAAGCTTTGAGAGCTGCCACACTTTAGCTACCAAAGCAGTGGTTCAGATTGCCTGGAAGTGCTCCTCTGATTGTAGCATCAGTATTTAGGATCTGGAAAACAAACTCACATTGGTTTTTAGGGAGACCACAAAAGAGGGACTGGTCGCTGAGTGCTTTGCCAGTCTCACAGCAAAGGTGCTCTTTTGGAAATGGAAGTAGTGATATTAACATGCTGGAAAAATAAAATTGAAGGTGCTGGTTTACAAGTTCCTAAGGAATTAATAAAATTGCAGATACTGTTCTTCAAGTTCATGAGGAATTAATAAAATTGAAGGTACTATTCTTCAAGTTCCTAAGGAAGACTGGAATGAGTTTTGTTGTTACTAGACCCTCCAGCAACAGGAAAATACTTCTCAGTGATTGTAGCTCTCAGTTGTAAATGGGACACTCTCCTCCGATTTATTTTTTATTTAAGAACCATCTAGAAATTATTTGCCAAAGCAATTTTTAGTTTTTGTGATTTTTTTTGTTTGTTTGTTTCCTCATTTCAAATCCTGTTGAATTACAACCTCTGTAATAGACACGGGGAAGAACCTTATTCTTGTGTTTCTAGGATCAGAATTAAGTTTAATGCACTTACAAGAAAAGAACAATTGCTGTCACTTCCAAATGAAATATGGTTATGTCGTTCTTGGCACCTGTAGTGCTTATAAGGAAAAATCTACTGTTGGGCTTTTGCTCATGATTGTTACGGTGATGAATGACCTGGAAAATGGTCTTGTTTTGTCTCAAGAGCTTCCTCAGATCTGTAGTTTTTTCATGAGTTCGTGGTTAAACAAATAGTTTTGACTTTGTACATCCAGTAAGATCCTTTCAGTCCTGTTTTTCTCGTGCTTGTATGTTGGTAGCATTCCTTCTCGTGACTTTCTCAAGACTTTGATTAAACACAGTGGGAACCAAATACACTTTTTCTTCAGTTTTTATTGTAGGGCAACCCTCCCATCCCCATTTCTGGTATCTTGCTGGGTTTGACCTTACATTGCATCTTTTTTAATATGGACATTTTTCAAAATACTTAATTACCTGTACCTGTCTCTTCCTATTTTAATGGAACAAGTGTTTGCTTTCCAGCCATTTAAAGAAGCAATTACCATATTAGTGTCAAAGATGTAGTGGGCAAGCATTTAGAAATCAATATAGTTGTTCTTTAAGAGATCAATTCCTGTGCTAATAGTAAAGGAACGCCCAGAGACTGTCACTGAAATTTGAAGAACTCATCTTTCTAACTTTTAGTCAAGCCTTTGCAATGTGGTAGCAACCAGAGGCCAGTCAAATTGGAATCTTATTGTACCAGGTGATGGTCAAACATAAATTTCTCTGCAGAAGACAAACTGTTGTCTAAGGAAGCATTTTTCTTCTATGTGAAGTTACGTGTGTAAAGTGTTTTGGAGAAGAGCAAAACAAATTTGAAAAGAAAATCTTAGAAAGCTACAAATTGATGAGCTCCCAGGAAAAAACCTGTCTTTATTTGAAACATTTTTTTAAGTCATCTATCACATTCCAAAACTTTTAAGGACAGTTTTGCTTTGTGAATGTGCAACTATTCTGCATTACCTCGTATGAGTCACCTTTTCACTGATGGCAGGCTTGGAGTTTTCTGGGTCAGCATTATTTTTTATTATTTTCTTTTAAGACTTTAAGATTTCTTTCAGGATAACTGAAAGTTACCTATTTTTTTTTTGCAAATAACTAAAAGCAGAGCCTGTAGCTTTTGGTTAACAACCAGACATGTAAATAGCAGTTTTTGTAACACAATCCTACTTTGTCTCCTCTGCCTAAAATACTTTATACAATTCTTTTGCATTCCATGTAGACATGGTTTGCTTGTATGTCATAAGAAAGAGATTTTACTTGAAATTCTTTTCCAGGCCACCTTCTTCTCACACAGAGACAGCCACCAGTGTAATTCCACTATCTTTGTGATCGCTCCCAATGTACCCTAGTGCATGTCAGAGCAGAACTGGGGCCAGTTACTGAAAATGTGGATGTTGCATCAAAGGACAGTTAGGGGCTGGGACTTCCTGTCACGGGATCTGCAGAAGACACATGTTCATGCAAATTAAGAAAGCAGGTTGCTATATAAGAGTGGTTTTCTCCCCTGTGTCAGATCTGTTAAGAACCAGCCAAGGTGTATGGTGTGCAAGCTTACACTATCGTGTAAGATGGCTGCTACCTGAAGGGCAGCTTCTGAAATTACTGTTGTCATCAATTCAGACTCATTTTAGAGACTTTTAATCTGCTGTCTGTCCTAGTAAAACCAGACTGCAGATAAAGAAGATGCTGCTTAAAAATAAACTTGATTCGGGAAGGAGAAAACTGACCACTTGTCGTCTTTTCTGTTCAGGAAGAGGAAAAAAGGAAGGCAAAGGAAGAAGAGGAGAAGAGAGAGTATGAAGAGTACCTGAAGCTGAAGGAGAGTTTTGTAGTTGAAGAGGAAGGGGTTGAAGAATCAATGACAGAGGAAGAGGTATGTATGTTAGGCTGTTACTGCAGTTTCCTTTAGCTTTTATTAGACTCAGGTTGCCCTTACTGCATTCTGTGTCATGTAAAATGAACTTGAAAGTAGGAGTCAGCCACATGTTTTTGCTTGTAAAAGCTAAATTGTGTATATGGCCCACGTTAACCTGGGGCATTTCCTGGGGAATGCTACAGTCCTTCATTCCAGACTCCTAATTTAGAGTACTAAAGCAAATACATATCACTGGAAATGAGTTCTCTCCTCCCTTAATGTAAGGACAGAAATAAAAACTCATCCTTGAAGTCAGATACTCTTTTACTGTCATCAGCTTTGCTCTACCCATACACAGTGGGCTAGATGAAAGCAAGGCTAAATATGGAGTTTGGTAGTGCCCACATATCTTGGGAGGAATTGCTTGGTTTTGGTTTTATTTTCTAGACCAGTGGAGCTGCTGTGAAATCAAATGAAAAACCAAGCTCTTTTTTTTTAAAAGGCTTCTGTTAAGAGATTTCACAGGACACAACCTAAGTACTTGTGGGTTGTACACTGGAAAACTGTACATCCAGTGTTGCAGATGATTGCTATGGTTGATAGTATTTCAAACTCTGCATAACGTTCCAGCATGCTCCTCCTGTGGCTGCCTGCAGACGTGCTGCTGGGGATGCTGGTTGAAATGTAACACTTGACATAACATCACAGCAAACTTGAAAAAGTTCCCTTCTTGTGGGAGGCAGCGTTCTTAATTCTGTCTGCTGAAAACCTGTTAGACTCATTTTAATTGCTGGCAAATGCTGGAGTTGCTCTTGGGTTGTAGCTGCCAAATTTGAGCTCTCCAATGCATTTCTTCAGTATTTTTTTCAGGGCCATGTGTACATTTGCTCCTCAGCTAAAGCAACCTTATGGAATTGAATGGATTTGCCCTTAGTGTGACTCAGAGTGACTTTGAGCTAAGGAGAGTCAATACAGCTTGACCTTAGTCACAAGTTCTCACTATGGACCCCTTCCCATTGAGATAAATTCCTCCATCGTGCCGAGATTAACACCAAGAGAAGCTGTATCTGGTGATGGGGAATTTCCTAAGATGCAGAGAACAGCAAAATGCATACTTTCTATTTAAAGTTCCTTCAAAAATGTGTGCCTGTCCTGTTAAAAGAACAGATTATACCTAAATATTATATTGTGCTACTTTAGAGACCCTTTCAAGCTAGAATATGTTTATTGTCTGTGTTCCTACAGCTGCCTGCCAAGGAAAAATTAACCTTTCTATACATGGGAACAGAGAAGGGTGTTCCTCACTCAAAAGAGCTTGGCAGGCTGATGATGATGCCTGGATCTCAACATGAGATATCTTTGGTAGGAGTGGAGAGGTAGAACTTTAATAGTAGGTGATTTGAAAGTCATCTTCAGAAAGACTCACAGGTACATAGCTTTTTGGAGACATTATTAGCCATGCAGAAATGGCAAGTCACCCTTCTGCCTTGTGGTGGATCATGTACTGAAACATTTTAGTATCATCCTGTTCCAGTACCTTGTGTTGTTGAGGCTAGAGTGCTGAAAGTCATGCTGAATATTAAAAGTCCTGAGTCTAGAGCTAAGCAGTTAATTAAGGCTGATTGATTTCCAGGGTTACAGAGTAACTTGATCTCCGGTTAAACCTAAATGCACAGTTGTTTGCATTGCCTTTGAAAATGGAGTTGCTTATATTAAAATACTGGATTTCAGGTGCATAGCTTTGAAAAGGGCTGGAGCTTCCACATGTGTTGTGCAGCTGTGTGCTAACACTTGACCATCTGCGTGAGCTGCCTCCCCAGTCACTTCTGTACTTTACCTCTGTACAAAATGTCCTCAGTGTGTCCACGTAACTTAAGACACGACGCACAAACTCGCCCAGATGTGGTTATTTCAGGGTATGTATGATGCGAAGAATAAAAGATTCAAAGATTTCCTTGCAGGAGACACTTACACACAAATTGCACTTGAGCCATATTCGGTCTCAGAAAATAAATACCTATTGTAAGTTCCTAGTTAAGATTAAATCTAGATTTTTTTAATTTTTTCCAGTTTAAAATCTCCCTCAGAGTGTGTGTTTAAAAACTTTGGGAATATGCAAGCTAAACATTTTTATAATACTTGTACTCAGCAAGTTTGCCACGTATTTAATGTTCGTGATTTTAAAATAACAATTGTTTTCCTTGCTGTATCCAGTCTCGCAGCTTCCTAATGGAGTTTCTCGAATATGTTAAGGTAAGCTACCATTGGTCTGTTCTTGTTAGATTGTGTAAAATCCCTTTGTCAAAGAGCTGAGATGAAGAAAAAAGGGAAATCTTTATTTCCTCTTTGATTTACTTACAGATTCAACAAGTAACAAAAGTGATACCTTAGATAAGCCTGAATTATTTACTTAACCATGCGTGAGCATGACCATCTTTGTTAAAATGGTTTGTAATTATAGCTGTGTCTTGGCTTTTTGGGGCAGGATTGTAGCCCTCACCCTCTTTCATAAAGATAGATTTTATAAACTCTGCACCTGGTGGATCACCCTCAGAGTTTCTGAACAGCAGTGTTTGCTGTTGATTGGGATTTGGGACATTCAGGCTTTTTGTTTGTGAACATCAGCTACTGATGTAGGAAACAATCTCTACATCTCAGCTCAGCATGAATAAGAATTCACCAGCATGTGGCCTGCCGTGCACGATGTGTTTGTGTCTGAAACATTGGCATTGTAGAGGTCAATCCAGTTTTTCATGTGATTTCTTTTCCTGGGTATTTTTTGTTTGTTTTCTTTTTAAATCCATGCTATTTGCAATGTTGTCTTAATGTTTGGAAGGGATATTTAAGAAGACTGCTTGTTTTTAACAGGGTGTGTTAGTCTCCCTTTCATGATACTGAGTGGTTGGTTATTTAAAACCTGTAGCTTGTTCATGAGGGTTTCCACTTTTGATCTGTAAGGACAAACACTTCTTTCTCCACTAGTGGTATATCAAAGGTCAAATGTGCTTTTCAACTCTTACTCTAACAATGCTATGCGAATCTTTTGTCCTAATTAATCCTTTTCCTCTACTGGAAGCTGGACCCTTACCTGACAATGTATGGCATATGTGTGAAAGGCTTCATGAGTGAGCAAATCACTTGTATACTTAGTGAAGTCCTAATTATTTTGTTAATCCAGAACCTCACACTCTGGGGCAGTTTTCCAGGTCCATTATCCCAGCAAAACCCCAGAGAGTTACCAACAGATTTGTCTCATGGGTCACCCTCCAAAAGGAGTTGATTTGAGTGATTCAAATGTGAACAGTGGCTCAATCATTCTAGATTTGCTGCAAAATTAGGACACAAGCATCTTTTTGCTGTGCTGCTCTCTGCCTCCTGTGTCACTGGGATTTGTGGGGGTGTATCCCATTGCCATCGAGAGGTTTGTGTCTGTCAGGTGCTTTCTGATCAACGTGATCTCCGGGGGTAATTTGGAAATGTCTAGGCTAGTAGCACTTGGAGTTAGGACTTGAATTGCTGCAGCCCATGAGAATAGCCCCTGTTCACTAACCAAAGCTCCAGCATAAGCCACTCAACTCTGATCAGAAGCACCACCAAAAGAAGAAGAGACAGCCAAGAATAGATTGGAGAAGCTATGGGTGAAAGGTTTAAAGAGTCTAAGTAAAACCATGGAGTGATGATGAACCATCAGATGGCACATTTCATTTTGCAGCCATGCAGCTATTTCAATCTTCTGTTTTCTACAGAAGCCAAAAAGATTTCTTTGAAAGGGAGAGGAACTTTGAAATGACCATGTCTGTTAAGACCAGCCTCTGTTTCATTTACTGTCTGTGGAAATAGACTGAGTGTTTCAGCATGATCCCAGTTCACCCATTCCCATCTTAAGCCTTTAAAGATACAGCCAAGCTGTGGATTAAGGAAAATGTGCTGTTCTTCATGTGCATGTTCTTCTTGAAAGAGTTGGGGCTGTTCAGCCTGGAGAAGAGAAGGCTCCAGGGAGACCTTCTAGCGGCCTCCCAGTACCTGAAGGGGCTCCAGGAAGGGTGGGGAGGGACTTTGGCCAAGGGCAGGGAGTGAGAGAACAAGGGGTGATGGCTTGAAAGTGTCAGAGGGGAGATGGAGATGAGATGTGAGGAAGAAATTGTTTGGTGTGAGGGTGGTGAGACAGTGTCCCAGGTTGGCCAGAGAAGCTGTGGCTGCTCCTCCCTGGAAGTGTTGAAGGCCAGGTTGGCTGAGGCTTTGAGCAACCTGGTCTAGTGGAAGGTGTTCCTGCTGCTGGCAGGGGGGTTGGAACTGGATGAGCTTTAAAGTCCCTTCCAATCCATACCATTCTATGATTCTATGATTCATCCTAGGGCAGCTTGTTTATCAATAGCAATAATTAGAACAATAGGATATTTCAATGTCCCTTGGGTTCTCCACTAAAACTGGGAGGGTTTCCAAGGGATAACGCAGTAGGTTCTGGTTCTGCACGTTACCCTGGTGGTTGTGATGGATGGAACAGATTAGTCACAAACTCTCAGTTCAGTGTTTAAGCACATATGTATAGTTTTATATTAGTCACTTCTACTTGACGTCAGAGAAATTAAGCACAGGCTGAAAACCGAATTCGGAAGCACTTTGACACCTGATTTCCTATGGAGAGATGAGTTGCAGAACTGGGGCATTGCTTTCTTTTACCAGTTTTAGTATTTTATATTTTTTTTAATCTTGCAAGTGTGCTTAATATATAGATTATGCCTTGCCCTCATCTTCTGTTCTATTCACAGAAACTGTTGACTTATATCAAGAAGCACTGCTAAGCTGCTAGTAGCTGACTGAAAAACGTAGACATTAAATTGCAATTGGCATTTTTCATAGAATCCCAGACTGGTTTGGGTTGGAAGAGACCTTAAAGCTTATCCAGTTCCAACCCCCCTGCCAGCAGCAGGGACACCTTCCACTAGACCACGTTGCTCAAAGCCTCATCCAACCTGGCCACAAACACTTCCAGGGAGGAGCAGCCACAGCTTCTCTGGCCAACCTGGGACACTGTCTCACCACCCTCACACCAAAGAATTTCTCCCTCACATTTCATCTCCATCTCCCCTCTGCCACTTTCAAGCCCTCACCCCTTTTCTATCAATATAGATCAAATCTATCTATTTTTTAAAAATAAAATTCATTTTAGCTCTTCTATTTAATAACTCATTTTACTGGTATAACTGACAGAAGATAGTTCACCCCTTGCTTCATTCCTGAGAGTGTTTGAAATAAAATGCAGCCTCTTTTCTCCAGCTCTGCCTTGTGGGATTGTTTTAAATGTGATTTTTCTTAAAGGCACCAAAAGGATTGACATCCTCCACTTCTGCTTTTCTGAAAGCTGAACATCTCCTCTCCTCGGGGGCTTTCCTTGAGTAGCCCCTCAACCTCAATCTGACTGCTGCAACATCACCTCACGCCTCAGGCTGTGGCATTGTCTCTGCAGCAGTCACCATCCTGTGTGTTTGTTTCTTACAGTGACCAGTCCTCAAGTTACAGACTTGACTGCTCAGGTCTCAGAGGAGCAGAAGAACCAGTTCTTAATGGGAGCCTTATGGTTTTACATAGCTACTTGCTGTAGCTGCGTGACACACCTTACAGACCAGCTCTGTGGGCTCTCTGAGCACTTCAAAAAAATTAATAATGAAGTGGGCAGAGGTTAAAGAGTGGCAGAGCAGTTCCCTTGCTGTGGAACACTTGCCTGTTGACCTAAGGAAATATGAACCTACACTTTGGCCATCACACTGTTCTCACCCAGCTTGACAGCGTGTCACTGAATGTGTGTGAATTCCAGCCAGTGAACTGAAAGAGGTAACTACATTTGAAAGGGATAGCAAAGGACTTGGAGGCTTTACCCCTTCCTGGTTTTTTTCTTTAAGAAAAATTACACAAGATAAGGGGGGAAAAAAAAAATCCTACTTATCTTAATCCTGAGAGCTCTTGTTCTGTTTCATCCCTTGCTGAAGACAGCAGCAGAATCATACCTCAAATTAAATGAATTCAATAAAATGTGGATGTGTGTGTGTTGCTCTGTGAAAGTGAAGCCTTCCTCTAAAAAACATGAAGCATGTGGTGAAGTGTTTTGTTCGTCTGGGACTTCACAATGTCATTATATTTTGGAGTGTGTGTGGGGAACGCATCCTAATTCCACCCCACCCTCTGGGCTCTTATTCACAGCAGGATCTTGGAAAATTTCCACTAAACTTGGTCGTTGAGGGTAAATATCTTTAAGTGAAGGTTTAAATCCTGTTTTTCTTGTTTATGTGGCTTTGCACCCCCTTCCCCTATATCCTTTTAAAAGAAGATGTGACGAATCTTAGCAGTTCCCAGCTCTGAGAACTGAATTCCATGGACTGGTTCCAGTTCCATGCGTTCAGTCCATGGTATTCAGTTCTCTAGCTTGGCTGCATCGAACTTCACAACTACTAAGGCTGTGTGTGTGGCTTTTTTTGTCTTGATTTTATTAATGAAAAAAAGTTTCATCTATTTCAACCTCTCTTTATTTCTTCAGTGTCCTTCCCATGTACTCTCAAGATTAAAAATAAATGCATTTATCGCTTGAAATATCGCATCTCATAATGTAAATGTAGCTTTTTTAACCATATGTATATGGCTCTTAGGAATGTAGTCCAGAAGGTTAATCACACAGTTCTGAAAAGTTTTCTGTTTTCCAAATTCCTTACAAACAGTGCATCTTTTTACAGATGAATTTCTAAAGCTTTTGCAGATAAGAAAACAGGAACTGAGTAGCTCCAGATGAACGCACCAGGTGTTCTCTCTGTAATTCTCTTGGAGCTGCAGAGAAGCATAAAAGCAGATGTGAGCGGTGGTGTGACTGCATCCTGAGTGAGAAAGGCTGCAGTGAGGATCTCTTTCAAAAACAAAATGAAAATTTACAGTTCCTGCTTCTGCCTTTGCTCTCAGAGATCATGGAGCTGCCTGTGCAAGAGCACACTAGCAGTACCCTTCCAGCACTGATGATTTTAATAAGGTGTTCACTTAAGGAGATGATTATGGCATTAATACTCATGACATTAGTAAAACAGACTAAAGCACTTAATGCTCCCAGTCTTGTCTGGATTTTTATTTATGCAGTGTTACCACTGATCATTTTAAAAGGCACTTTGAAAGATCTCTCAAACAAAAAGGGATCTTGCTAAAGCATATTGGAAATTAAAGGTAGCAATTGAGAAATTCAAGTGGCAGGGAGAACTGAGCCATGGCTGTTTGTTGTGCTTGTGCTCATCCTCTCCTCCTAACATAAGGAAAGGTTCAGGATGAATGCTGGCAAATATATTTTGAGTCTTCACTTAAGTGGGTCAGAGCATCCAGTCTTTCCACAGAGCAGACTGGTTTAAGTAACTGAAGTTTAGAGGTTTTTTGCCAAAGAAAAGTGCTTACTGGGAAAAGTTAGTTAGAATGACAGATTCTACTTTGTCTGTTATTAAATGCATCTTTTTATTTGAAAGAAAAAGAAATATGCTTTATTAAACCCTCTAATCATCAACTGTTTGTTTGTTTCCATAGAAAACAAAGGTAATCCAGCTGGAGGACTTGGCTTCACATTTGGGTTTAAGAACACAGGTAAGTGCACCTTTTGGAGTGCAAGTACAATGAGTTTGAAAGGACAGGAGAGAAAGTGAATAAATAAAGGTAACAAGTATGGAAGTATCTCGGCATTACTGAAAATGCTTGAATTTTGGTGAACCTCAGCAAAATCAGCCCTAAAAATGTGGGTATTCATCAAAGCACCATCCAGACAGTGCAGGATTGTTGTTTTACAAGATTATTTCAGTGAAAAGTGCTCAGTCTGCCTCCTGCCCAGCTGCCTGTTGGCTAATGGATCCTGTAGTGTTTGCAGATCTAGGAAGAGAGCAATTCAGGGTGCTTGGGAATCAAAAGCAGAGCTAGAAGAAAATTCAGACACCTCCTGCATAATTGGACAATGGTGTTATGTTTGCAGATAATCAGTAGATGAGGTGTTTGGCTCCAATTGCTTGTGTATTCTTAGAACATTTAAGAATTATAGAATAGAATAAAATATTTCAGTTGGAAGGGACCTACAATGATCATCCAAACGGACCACTTCAGGACTGACCAAAAGTTAAGGTGTGTTATTGAGGGCATTGTCCAAATGTCTCTTAAACACTGACAGGCTTTGGGCATCAACCACGTCTATAGGAAGCCTGTTCCAGTGTTTGACCACCCTAATTTTTTATCTTATGGTACATTATTTAAGAATATTGTCCTTCTCAGCATCTTATAAGCCTGTCAAAGTGAGCTCATGGTGTGATATCTGTACTTTTAACTCCACTCTCCCGTCCTCTTTGTGTTCTCTAAACATTTTATGGTTTAACTCTGATTTATTTTAATTTGAGCACTTTTGACATGGATTTCTAAGTGACCAGTGTTCTCTGTTGTTTTGTACCTAATCTGATCTTGGGGTGCCCCTTCACACCAGCTTATGCTGCTCTAAGTCCAGGCTGCTGTGCTCCCTCTTAAACCAGAATTTCTTTTAAGCATGCAGCGAGCCAGTTAAGGGAATTTATCTGATTGAAATCTAAACTATAACTTGTTTCTACAGTAAAGGCAAGAAAGAGTGAGAGGCAGAGCTCTGGAAAACAGGGCTTAGATATTAGCTTAAGGTGTAGCAGAACTGCGTGCTTGGAGTAACTATAGGGTTAAACCAGCAATAAATTCAACAAGTTAGTTGTGGCTGCTCCTCCCTGGAAGTGTTGGCGGCCAGGTTGGATGAGACTTTGAGCAACGTGGTCTAGTGGAAGGTGTCCCTGCTGCTGGCAGGGGGGTTGGAACTGGATGAGCTTTAAGGTCCCTTCCAACTCAAACCATTCCATGCTTCTTCGTGGAAACGCTGTTGTGTATCCTTCCCTGAAGTCTTTAAGACTGAGGAATTAAATGTAAGCCTCCATCTGGAGTTTATCTGAATATGTGAAATGTTTTCTGCCTTCCTCTTGATCACTTTGTTATTCTTTTTCCCCTCCTGAACAGGATGCAATCAACAGAATCCAGGACCTGATGGCAGATGGCACTCTAACAGGTGATGGCCAAAACACAAAGGGGACTTTATTTCAGCTGGTGAATAGTATGGTGCAGAAAATGCCTTCACTTATGGTAGAGAGACACTTCCAGTGGGATTTCTGTTTTAAATTGTAGAGGATCCTAGCAGGACATGGTCAATAGATATGTTTATTATTCCTGCTTCAGCTGTTGTGAAACTCCTGTTTAAAGCATTATGGGATGTGATTGCTCCCATGATAGGTTATACAGAGGTGGCAAGTGAATATCCCCAACAGTTCAGGGCTTCTGCATGTTGATTGAGCCATACTGAAGGCCTTCAGGGATTGCTGAGCAGCCAGCTGCAGATGTTGTCTTCTGAAATCTGCATTTGAAAGAATCACTTGGATGTTGCCCAGAGAGGTAGTGGAGGCCCCATCCCTGGAGATATTCAAGGTCAGGCTTGATGGGTCTCTGAGCAACCTGCTCTAGTAAAGATGTCCCTGCTCACTGCAGGTGGATTGGACTACATGACCTTTGAAGGTCCCTTCCAACCCAATACATTCTATGATTCTATGTTTTGGGGTAGTTTGCAAGCATGTTGTAAAAGTTCTGTGGCTAAAGCCAGGACTGGGGCAGGGCACGCTGTGGGAGAAGCAAACATCCCAGAGCACTCCAGGACGAAGAGCATGTTCCTAGCCTTGTACCCACACAATCAAAATGGGAATGTAAGCAGAGACTGAGCACGTGGGCAGCTCCCTGGCTGAAGAAGTCTGTTTTATTGCTGGGCAGTCTTTTTTCTTTCTGAGGATGAAGTAAGGGAAGGTGCCAACACAAACATTTACTGACCTGACACTGTGGGAAACAGCTGTCTTGCTGGGTACATGTGGATACTTATTTAAATCACCTAAAAGTGGTCTGAGTTAAAGCGTAAGGATGTGTCCAGTCCTGGCTGTGTCTGTGGCCTAAAAGGCCTGCCAGTGAAGTTCTCTGCCTTCCATTTGATCCTGTGATGCGTCAAGAACAGAGAGATCTGTTCTTGCTCTTGATGGAGCAATTGAAATATGGAAATTGAGCTTCATTCCCTTTTAGAGGGTAAATTGAAATGGATGAGCTGGGCCCTACAGGGTCTCTGAATCACCCCCCTGGGCCCTCCTGCTGCTCTGCCTTTCTCCACTAGCTCCTTTCTCCACATCAGCACTGAAACTATACACCTGAAGTAGACAGTGTGATAGTCCCAGCTCGCTGCCCACAATGAAAAGAGCGTGTTACTTGGAACAGAATTAGTCTGACTGAGGCACTCGGCTATTGTCATAGTCCTGCTCAAAGACCCAACAGTAGAGAGGAGATAAAAGCCCAGCTGCTGGCACGTTGTTCTGCCTGCCCTAGATATGAAATGCAACCTCAGCAGTTTGAACGACCCTTCCAAAAGAAGTGAGTGATGTCTGTCGGGAAGTGAGAGGAGCCAAAGCGCTGACTTCAAGGTCCTTTCTTTCCCTCTGTAGGTGTGATTGATGACAGAGGAAAGTTCATCTACATCACTCCAGAGGAAATGGCTGCTGTGGCTCAGTATATCAAACAGAGAGGACGAGTCTCCATCGCAGAGCTGGCCCAAGCCAGCAATTCCCTCATCAACCTCCAGCCTGACAACCGAGCTGTTGCTTCAACTGTGGCGTGAGAAGAAAAAAATACAGCAGGAGTTTAACCTTTTAATGAATACACCACAGAATTAATAAAAAAGCCCAAAAATCAAGTACCCCTTTAGTCCATTCATGGTGCTTGAATATTGGATGCTCTTTTTAAGCATCAGCTGGAAAACTTGATCAAAAGTTTTGCTTTTTTCATTCTTCTCAGAGCTGATATAAAACAGGACAGTTGTTTGTACAACACAGGCTAGCCATGAAATTTGGGTTAAAACACTCTGATTCACCTGGACTGCAGGAATATCAATACTTCATGATTAACTTGGTAGTCAGTCTCGTGTTACTATACTCAGACTTCTTCTCGTTTCCAGATTCTGATGTCTGTATCAAATATGTTTGGCTTTGCATTCAGAATTCTTCAGGCTTGTTCTGCACTTAGAGCTCTCTAACTGCAGCAATGATATACACAGCCCAGAATAATAGGTGTGTAGGGGTGAGACTTGCAGATTTTGTCTTCTGGATCAACATTGGAAGGATAAAGTCGGAAGAAAATATTGCAAGAGTGTCTCTGTTCTTACTGAAATTTGAAATACCGAAACTCTAGAAATGTGAGAACTTCCAGAGGTTATTTCAGAAAACCTCGGCGATAGAAATATGTTTTGCTTGGTTTCTATAATGTAAACAGTTCACTGCGTTATTTTTCTGTAGCCAAGAGACAGAAACACCTCCAGGGAAAGGCTAACTCGCCTCCTTTATTGTGCAGGCCAGTTCTACTGATACCAACCAGATTCTGATGATTCATCCTTTGAAGTAAGAGCCAGCTCAGTGTGTCTGAAGGCCTCAGACACCACCACCCTCTGACCTTTCTGGTTTGGATCTTTTCCTTTTTTTAAAATCCAGGCACTATGAATCATGAAATTAATGTTACAAGTAATTAGTTATTACTGTATTAATTGAAGGGGTCACTGTATTTCCTGCATAAGAATATTTATTTTTTTAATAGCCTAATTGATGCCTTGTTAATTCTCCTTTCTGAAATCAACAGAATCTATGTGGTTATACAGTAATTGGGAAGGGCAAGAGGGACTGGTTTTGTCTCTACCAAACTTAGAGGTAAATCTGAGTAGACTAAAAGCTGCATCCTCAGTGAGATGAGATAGCAATAAAACAGTGGAATGAAGCAAATTTCCTTTTTAATCTCTGCACTGCTGCTGAATGTGACGCTCTGCAGGAGAGCTGAGTTGCAGCTCAGCACCACACGTAGATGTGGAAGATGGGTACATGGTTACTGCCATCGTTACTGGTTGGTACAACAATAACCAGCAGAGAGATGACTTGAGGTTTGAGGCTTGTAAAGTCTCTTAATTATTCAAAATTTGATTTTGCCCTGATTTTCTTGTTCTATCCTAAACTATTCTTTTAATAAAATAAACAATATTGAAAGAATTGCAGGTATTTGTATTTGAGATATCTTTTTTAACGTGTCAAAGGATTTTTGGGGATAAAGGAGGCAGCCAGCGATGCCAGAGACTCCAATGTGCCAGTCAAAGACCAGAGGTAATCCATTAAATCCACTGAAATCACACCAAAGTACACTCAGATTCTGTGAATGTAACAAATAACACCACATTCACCAGGCAGTGCAAGCTTCTTTTTCAGTGCAAGTCCTTTATGGGGTCAAGTACCAAGTACCAAGTACCAAACCCAACCACTGTGTTCCTTGTTTGGAGCCTCCTCCCCTCTGGCACAGTTAAGGGTAAAATACAGAGTGGTGGTAAAGTAATAAATACAGTGAAATAGTGAAATCCTGGGATGCACGGTAGATTTGGGGTGTTCTAAATTAATTTTTAATTAATTTAGAAGCTGAACATGAGCAGACAACGTGCGCTGGCAGCCCAGAGGCCAATAACCATGTCCTGGGCTGCACCCAGAGCAGCGTGGGCAGCAGGTGGAGGGAGGGGATTCTGCCCCTCTGCTCCGCTCTCCTGACACCCCACCTGCAGTGCTGCCTCCAGTGCTGGGGACACCAACAGCACAAGGACATGGAGCTA